TTGGGAATCTCTATTACAGTGCTGGCTACCAGCCAGCCAGACAGAACTTTCTCTCAATTTTTATAAGAAAAATAATTATAATTTTTTTGAAAATTGTGGGGTATTTGCATTTCCCCTATAAGCCTTTAATTTATTGAGTTTCCAATTTTCTGTACAGATTCTTGAGGATGTATACCCATTAATGTACTTACATTAATAAAATAAGTTGTGGGTTTTTGGACTTGGGAGCAGAGTGGTCGCTGGACTGCATTTTTACTGAGGTCACCTGTGGGTGTTTATTTTCTTCTAAAAGCAAATGTATCAGAAGCCGGTAGCTTCTCATTAACATTTTGCAAAGTTTAACTATTTATGGAAAGAGCCCTCAACTTTATCTATTAAAATTAATTCATCCAAAAAAAGCAATAATGTAAATGGTTTAATACTTCAGAGACGAGCTTATATAGAAGCTGAATTTGATGTTCTCCTCCCCCCCACCCCCGGAAGTAATCTCGGGTGAGGTTCCCCACACATATCCAGCTCTTTGCCTCCTGTGCACCAGGTACGATTCTAATTCCTGCCCCCTTGCGATTGAGTCAGGATCCTTGGACTAGCTCTGAGTGCCTGCTTGGCTGGAGCCTCTGATTCCTCAGTCAGTTCGGCAGCCCCCCCGTCAGGCCCCTCAGGACGCTGCTGCATCAGCGGGGGGCCAGGTGAGAGACACGGGACAGAATTCCCAGCCTATGTGATCTTTCCCAATGAATTAACCTTTACAAAGAACCAACTTCTGGCTTTTGGTGTTTCTCTATTGCTTTTTTCTTTGTCGTTGATTTATACACTGTTATTTCATTCCTTCTGTTTGCGATAGGTTTAGTTTCTATTTTTCGAGCTTCTTAAGGTAGTAGACTCTTAGATCCTCCATTTTAAACCTTTCTTCTTTCTTAAGTATATAAAACTAAAAGTTTTTTCTATAATACTATTAAGCTGCACCCACAAATTTTGATGTGTTAAGTTTTCATTATGATTCTGTTTGAAATATGCTATCATTTCCCTTGTGATATTTTTTTCTCCAACCCATAAATTATTTAGAAATGTGTTGCTTAATTTCTAACTATATGGGTTTTTCTAGGTATCATCTCATTATTGATTTCTAATCTACTTCCTTTGTGACCAGAAAACATTTTGTATGTGATTTCAACCTTTTTATAATTTGAGACTCACTTGCTTGTTCAGGATATGGCCTCTCTCAGTGAGTGTGCCACTCACACTTGAAAAAGACACGTGTATTGAGCGGCTGTGTGACCTTAGTATTCATTAGATCAAGGCGTTTGCTAACATTGTTAAAATCTTCTGTATCCTAATTAGAAGGGAGTTTGCAAATGTCAGCTATGATTTTGGATTTATCATTTTATCTTTAGTTTTGTCAATTTTTGCTTGATGCATTTTGAAGTTCTGCTATTAGATGCATTCATATTTAGGATTGTTCTTTGTCTTGAAGTCTACTTTGTCTGACTTTAACATAGCCGCATCTGCTTTCTCATACTTATATTTTACATTGTATATATTTGTCCATCTTTTAACCTTCAATTTGTGTGTGCCTTATATTTATTTATTTATTTATTTATTGGGGATGGCAAAGCATTTTATTTTATCTTGCCTTTATATTTAAAAATACATCTGAACACATACTTCAGTCTTGCTTTTTTTCAATCCAGTGTACTGTCTTTGACTTTTAGTCAGTGTTTAAGCCATTTACATTTAATGCAGTTATTGCTCTACTTGGGTTTATATATCTATGTTGGTGTTTGTTTGCCTTTTGTCCCCTGGGTTTTTTTCCTTTTCTGTATTTTTTGGGTTGAGTTTTTTTGTTTTTTTGTGGATTTTTTTTTTTTACTATACTATTTTATTTCTCTATTGTCTCTTATGCTACACTTCTTAATGTTATTACTCTAGTGGTTGCTTGATGGCAGTATTTCTCAAACATTGACATGCATTGGAATCACCTGAAGGATTCTATAACACACAGATTTCTAGGTCTTATCCCAGAGTTCCTGAGTTTATAGGTCTGGAGTGGGGCCTGTGAATTTAAAATTTTGGTACGTTCTTAGATGATGCTGATGCTATTGTCCAGGGACCACACTTTGAGAGTCATTGCTCTAGGCATTACAGGATGTGTTCTTAATTTATAGTCTACCCTGAAGTAGTTTCATATATCCCATTTCAAATCTCATTTCAAGTACAATGTAAGAAACTTACAGTAGTAGAATTTTCATTTGTATCCCTTCCTGTTCTTTTTGCTATGTTCACAGGAATTTTACTTGTACATATTTTATAAATCTCATAATATATTTTTATTATTTTTTATTTAAGCAATTTTTTACTTTTAAATAATTTAAGAAAAGAAAGTTTATTTTAACTTTTACCCTTGATTATCATTTCCATTCTTTTCTGTACATCTAAATTTCCATCTGGTATTTTCCTTCAACATAAAGAACTTCCTTTTTCATTTCTTATAATGTGATTATACTACAACAAATTTTCTTAGCTTTAGCTTATCCAAAAATGTCTTTATTTCACCTTCATTTTGAGAAAAGTTTTCATTGGTTATTCTGAGTTGACAGTCTTTAAAGATAGTAGTATATGTTGTCCTCTGACCTTAATTGTTTTGATTTAAAAATTAATTATTACTCTTATTACCTTTTATGTAATGTATTTTATTTTACTCTGGGTTCTTTTAAGTCTTTTTACATTTATTTTTATCATTTTAACTATGTTCTGCCATAGTGGGCTTTTTTTTTTTTAAGTTATCTTTTGGAGGATTTGCTAAGCTTTCTGGATTTGCAAGTTGTGATTTTATTCAAATTTGGAAGTTTTCATATATTTTTTTCTCACCTGTTCTCTTCCTTCCTTCTGGGATTCCAACTGCACACATATTAAATTACTTAAGCAGGCCCACAGTTATGGTCTTTCCCTACTGATTACTTTTGTGTAATTATCTGTACCTACTTATATTCACTAAACGCCTTCAATTTTAGAATGTCGTTAAGTTATTGTAATGGTAGGGTCTCATTTCTTCACTTTGATAGATTTCCTTAATCTATTACTGGCTTTTTATTAGTATTACTAAGATTTGCCATAATGTTACTGAGAACGTGCTCCAGATTAAATTATTTTAATTGCATTAAACAATGCCCATTGTTTTTATTGAGTATTTTCTGTAATTAGCAATTCCCCACCAAAGGAGTTTGCTGGTGCCAGACTGAAGGGCGTGCTGTCGAGCCTGTCCGCGGCTTGGCAGTGAGGCTCCCTCTCTGCTCTGGCCACAGGTTCACACCAGCCCACGACTCAGGCCTGAGACCCTTCTCTTTCCAGTCTGTGCTCACTCTCCACGTGATCTCACCCAGCCTCATGGCTTAAAATGATGGCCGCCAGCTGATTCCTTCTCCAGCCCAGGCCCCTCTTAACTCCAGACCTGTGTGTCTACCTGCCGATTGGACACTTCCTCTCAGACCTGTCAAACCTGACATCTCCTAGACTCATCTGGGGCGAGTGCCCACAAAACATATGTTCCTACTGTCTTCTCCATTTTGATTTATGATGTTTCCCTTTTTTTTAATGTTTCAGCTCAAGCTTCTTACTGCCTCTGTAACTCCTTTTTCCTCTGGTCTCTCAGCAAACCCTAGTTGCTGTAGCTTCACATGCATCTGGAATCCATCTGCGCCCCACCCCCCCACCCCCCCACCCCCCCCGCCGCCCCGCTGTCACTGCTACCGCAGGGACACAACCTTAGATCACGGTGATCTAAGGTAATGCTTCCTCCACCTGCTCTCCCTAGGCCACCGCAGTTCCTGGTCAACACAGCCGCAGGGGGACCCTGTTGAATGCAAATCACCTCAGGTCATTTCTCTGCTCAGAACCCTCTAAGCCAGTGGCTTCCCACCTCAGGAGAAGTCGAAGTTGAATGTGATCTCTGAGGCCCTGCATGAGCCGACTCACCCGAGCCCTTTCTCCTCATCTCCCCTTGCTTCCCACTTATTCCTTCTGCTCTTTCCCGCTTGGCTGTTCCTTAAACATGCCAGGTAGCCTCCCGACCCCTGCGCCTACCTCAGTAGCTTTTCCTGCCGGCTGCCTGGTGTGTTTTCTTCCCAAGATACCCACCGTTAACACCTTCCTTTCCTTCAATCTTTCATTGAAAATCACCTTCTAGTGAGGCCTTCCCTGTACACACTGTTTATAAGATGCCAACATCCGCGCATGTCCTCCCACACCTGCATTGTGTCAGAGACCCCCCTTCACTTTCTTCCCTGCGGTGTGTTACTGTACAACATCTGTGCATTGTACCTACTTACCTCGGCTGTTGTCTCCCCCTACAACTGAGGGAAAACTAATGCGATCAGGGACATTCATCTGTCTTATTAATTATTGTGTCCCTTGTGTTTCTAGTCACGTGTGGTGCCTACTGGATGTTTTAAAGATATTTTTAAATAAATAAATGAATAATAGAGCTAGACCACTAGTTTACGTGTTGCCAATAGATACCACTCGCTAAGCATATTCCCACATCTGAATATTTTTGTTCCAGTTTTGTCTGCAGGATGAAATAGTTAAACATTTTGAATAATAACTATGATTTTAAAAGTTTTCTCGTTGAAATCACATTTGTGAAAGGTGGTCAGATTGGTGCTCTTGAGATGCCTCAATAAAGTTTTCACCATCGCATGAAAGGCTCCGCGTAGCTATCAAAACATTCAAACAGTGGGGGGGTGTAGCTCTCCCTCTGTGAGGGCCTGTTGGAAATAAACATGGTGTTAATCTTATCATCTGTAATCTACAGTCTCAAGGTGTTAAGTGGACCCTGCCGGAGCCTGTGTTATCTGTAAATCATGTTTCCCTTCTACTTCTTTGAAAAAGAGATTTCAAGGCAGGAAAGAGGAAATTGTATATTCTACATATTTTATATTCATGTTAGTACTTTATATTCATATAATGGGCTTTATTTTCACAATTTTTTTAATTTTATCCAGGGCAACACAACTATTTATGTGCTGGAAGAAACGATTGCATCATTGATAAGATTCGACGGAAGAATTGTCCTGCCTGCAGACTTCAAAAATGTCTTCAAGCTGGAATGAATTTAGGAGGTAAGTGTTATATTTTTAGTTCAATAAAAATTGTTAATATGTAATATAACACTGCTGGCTCTGTCCCCCAGAACTGAAGATGAACTAACAAGGAGCAAAAATGTTCAAAAATCTAAAACATTATTGGAGACAAGGACATCTTAACGGGAGTTTAAAAGAAGTATATTATACGTCTGTGGTTTTAGTGAATTTTTCAACCCTGAATTTGCAGAGGTTTCAAGAACAGAGCACATAACCAAAACCAAAACAAAAATGAATGACTTTTTATATAATATTGTAGCTAACAGTTTTATTATCATATCTGTTTATTTGAATAAAACAGACATGTGATGACATTAATCAGGTCGGAACACATTACTAACTCGAAAAGTAAATGTAATAAAGGACTTACATGAGAAAAACTTTAAAATGTTATAGGAGCACACCAAAAAAAAGGAGGGGGAGGTAACAGACTTGAACCAAACACAGAAGTACACAATGTCCAAGGGTGGGAAGATTCAACCTCCTAAGGGAATTGGTTTTCCCTAAATTAATTTATAAATATAACACAGTCCTAGCAAAAAAAACAACAACAACAACAAAAACAAACCAATAGATGATCCTAAGTTCCTAACGAACAGCCAGCAAAATTGTGGAAAATAAAAATAATGAGGGCAACTAGCTCCCCCAAATAGTAAAACATATGCTACAACTACAGTAGTTAAAATACAGTGTATTTGTTTACTGGTGGTCAGATCAACAGATAGTCAAGAAATAGATCTGGATAATATGAGAATTTTATATATAATAAAATTGGCATTTCAAATCAGTGGAGAAAGAGTAGATTTTTTTCAACAGAAATTGTGACAACTGGGAAACAAGAAAATTGAATCCAAACTCTTACTATCCCCCAAAATTAATTCTGGGTATTCAAAAGATTTAAACTTTGAAATATAATTACAGAAGTACTAAAAGAAAACATGGATTTTTAAAAAATACTCTCTGAGAAGACCTTTCTAAGTATGAAATAAACGCAGAAGCTATAAAAGAGAAGAATCGAAGCAATCAGCAATACTTGCAAATCAAATATTACTGCACACAGTAGTGGGGCCAGAAGGGCCCTACTGGTTAAGAGGGATTAGGAGGGAGGGCTCCGGAGCCAGAATGCCTGGTGGGGACTCTCATTCTGCCACTGCCCAACTCTGTAACCTTAGGCAAGGTACCATGATTCTGCATTGCCTGATGTTCCACTTGCATCGATGTGCACCCACCTCCAAGGCCGTGGTGAGGATCAAATGAGCGAATGCGCAGTGAAAAGAGTGTGGTCGCTCCGGCCATGCCCGTGGTGTGATGGAAGGTGGTCACGCTCACTGCACTTTCCATAGCACTTCTACAGATTATCTGAGAGATCCTATTGCACCCTGTGTTGGCCATGGTAAACCTCACATGCTAAGAGAAGTTGAGTTCTTGCCCAGGGATACCACAGCCAGTGGGATGGTGAGGCTAGATCGTGGCTCTGTGGACTCCTGGTCTCATGTTTCTAGACTGCCACACGGCTCCCTCCTAATGTCCACATCATCACAGGTGTGGCACGACAGAGCACCTTCTGCAGCATGTGAGTGAGGGCTAGGAGAGATTAATAATTTAAGATCGAGACGATGTAACTGTACAGCCTTTGGTTGGTAAAGGAACTCTATGTCAATTTTTTAAATCCATGATCTGCCTTTAAACACACACATATACACTAGGAATGTATTTTTAAAGCATCTGTATATAAGTTTATAAAACTTCACAAATATATAGTCATGTAATATAATTACCATTAATTATACTCTATAAAATGCAGTTGCTATTAGTTACTATAAAAAATAACAGAATAGCCATACTTATAATTCCTAGCCCATAAGGTTGTTTCAAGGATTAACTAAGTCAGTATGTAACCTTGAGTATAGGGCTTCTCCCCCTCTGCAGCATCGACATTTGGGACCGGGTGGTTTTGTTGTGAACTGTCCTGTGCATTGCAGGGTGTTTGTCGGCACCCAGTTTCTACATATGAGATACCAGTCGTGACAATCAAATGTTTCCAAACTTTGCTCAATGACCCCTTGGTGGCAATGAGACCCACTGATTTATCAATAATTGTAAATAAGTGTAAGCACACTTTCGATGTTACATACTGTTTTCTGCTAGAATATGCATTCCACCAGGGGAGGCGTTTTTATCTGTCTTAGTCATTGCTTTATCTCCAGTGCCTGGGAGAAGGCCTGGCACAAAGCGGGTGTTCACTAGCTGTCTGTTGAGTAACTGGCATTATTGAAGGCTTCCGCGTGTCAGGCACACTGCCAAGCCCTTCGTGTGTGTCGTCCCTTTAATCCTCATGGCAGCGCTGGGCAGCACATGCTTTTCATCTGTCCGTGTTAGGCGTGAGTTCGTGGGGGCCCCGAGAGGCTCCGGAACTGGCCGAGGCGCACACCTGGGCGAGGCAGAGCCAGAACTCACTCCCGTTCTGGGCGCCAGAGCCCACGCCCCGCCCCCGCGCTGTGCGTCACAGGTCCGTGGTCTAGAGGTCGCATTTCACAAGTAGCTCAGGCAATCTGTCAATGGCAGTGGCGGCACCCAGGTTCTGTCCCAGTGTCCACACTGATCAGCCAGTGAGGTCCCGCACAGGACGTGATACGTGACTCACATCATTTGTTGTCGGTTTCTGTGTATGCGGGATAGGCTTGGGGGGTTTTGGTAGAACATTTTAATAGAAAGAAAGCTGGCTGTGAGTCGTGAGGTCATTGAAAGTAATGAGTCAGAGTGGGCAGAGTGGAAATTAATATTTATGAAAGTGATATTTTCTTTAGGGTCAAGTTATAATTTAACCACTTCTGGTCTGTGGATTAAATAATTAACTTGTACTAATTATCCAGTTGAAATAACATGTTTTCATTTTCTTTCATCACTTATTTTGAAGCCTCAGTGTTAGCCTCAATTTGGGAATGCAGGCAATTTTATTATATTTTTAAAAAGAAAGGTAATACAAAGTTTAACCTTGTAATGCAAATCAGTTTTTTAAAAATTAAAAACGTAAATTAAGTTAAAATTTTTTCTAACATGTTACAGTATCACCCCTGCTCTCCTAGCAAAGCAAGGCTACTCAGCCTCTTTTATCCAGCACCGTCCCTGCTGCCTCTCTTGGGGGACAAGGCAGATGGCAACCCCGTATAACCCTGGGAAGACATTTTCTGTTAGTGAATGACCATGACCCCGGGACCAGAATTAGCCGTCCCCTTCTAAGACTTCAGGGATCCAAAATACTTCAGGATAATTTTTTTCCTATCCCGTCAGCTGGTTAGCACGTAAACCTAACCAAGCTCCCAGAGCAGGCTTTCACTTAGAAAGTGGACGGATGGGAGAAGAGCAATAGCTTTATATTTCTCAGAAAAATAAAGCCATAAAATGTGCCTCTTCCCTTTTCTCTAGGCCCGCTCCCTCCCTCCCACCACAAGTACTCTTCCTTTTCTTTAAAAATCCTGCTGAGCTTTAGGCTGCATGCAAAGGAAAATATAGCAGGAGATGTGAGAATGTCAACAGAGAAATGGAAAGGAAAATAACAGCTTTTCTGGCCCCACGCTGGGCCTGCCATTCTTACTATAGCCCCTATTAGGAGATCTGAAAAAAAGCCCTGGTTCTATATACAGGAGAATTCACCTCCTTCGCCAAAGGAATTAATCCCTTTAGCTTTGCATGCCAGTGTTCTGAAGAGGATGATCTGTTCATGTCTTTCGGAGATTCTCCTAAAATATATGAAGCGTAGCCTGAAAGCTAAGTGGCCCTCCGATCAAGAATGATTTCCTTGGGGTATTTCTGGCTTGTCTGCCCTTTGGCCATAGAATATAAAGGGGATCTTACAGGGTTTTTTCCCTATTCCAAGCCTCCCATTTTACAGGTAAGAAACTTGGAATTCAAGATCATATCACTAGAAGCTTGAATAACGTATTGTAGTCACAGTGACAGGTGACTTAGCGTGGTGATTACACTGTAAGGTATGTAAATGTTGAATCATTATATTGTGCACCTAAAGCTAATATAATACTGCATACTACCTAAATTATTTTTAAAACTTTTATAAAGGATTTGAATTCAGTCATCTTTACTCTTTTCCCAACCACCCCCCCATGCCTCACCTTTCATTAGATATATTGAGAAGTCCACTCTTACATTGCTTTAATGAAGACTCCGAAATATTAAAATCTTGTTTGTGCAGCTTTAAAAAATGTAGACTCCACAAGCAACAGGGCAGCCCGCACTCCAGTCCCAGTTTACTTCCCTTAACCCCAGCGTTGACTCTTACTCAGTTTACGGGGAGCCTTCACAGGGCGGCCAGGTTGGGTTCCCCGTTTCCCCCTGGAATGGAGCATGTTGTGTGAAAAGGGAGAAGGATCTCAGGTGCAGGAAGCAGGAGCAACAGCAGACATCATAGTTGCTTTGGGAAGATGAAACAAAGGCAGCTAGGTTAAAAATTAAAGGGGCACATATGCTAAAGTGCTGGGAGTCGTTCAAGGAGACAGATAACTCTTGGGCATCAGTGAGAAGGACAGAACCAAAGAGAGAAAAGTATTTAAATTAAAACTCATCCACATAATGCAATATTAATTAACCAATAAAATCATGGTGATGAAAATTCATAACAACACAGAATTCATTGTGAAAAACTAGTAACAAGCGTGCTAGAGTGGCCGAGTGGTCAAGGTCTTGGCCGTACAAAGCCTGTAGGTCTTCAGCCTCGTAGGTTCAAGCCCCACATATGTAGAGGTTGCTCTGCTTTCCCCAAAACCAAAAAAATAAAAGGACAACTCTTTCCAAACTCATGCCGAACCATTAAGAAAAAAAAGAAAAAAGAAAAACTAGTAACAAAAAATTCATAGGCAAAATTATTTGGGTTACTTATTCTGGGATTACAACTACATGTGAAAAGATTTGCCTGAGACACAAGACAAGGAAGGCATTTTAGAATACCAAAAACAATTGTGTTA